CTACTCGTAGTATCTAAGGTGGCTAGTAAACATATCAAGTTTCTGGCTATTTTTTAGTGTTTCCATAATATCTGGCCTAAAACAAATCATAGGAATATGATCTCTTAAATTATTGAATTTATTTTTTTAGTTCTAGTATGAACGTTGTTTGAAGTTTACTGGTCGATAACCAGTTTCCATGAAGTATCGTTTAAATTATTGTAGTTTCAATTTTAGGGCAGGAGGAAAGTTGAAGTTATGAAAAACGTATACGTTATTCAAAATTAACAAGCTGCTATTAAAAACCAAGTTGGGAGTGGGGTAACAATAAAAAAGTTCATGAAAATTGATAAAACATGGAATAAAAGCAATATGAAAAAAAAATGTTATTCCTATTAATTACTATGAGATATGAAGTGACCAATGATAAAACATAAATCACCCTGTATAATCATTACTACTGTGATCACAATGTGAACTTGATATATGTTAGTTTTAATCATCTTTTTTTTTGCATAGATCATGCTTTAGCATTGGCCCCCCTGCCCAAAAACGACTTTAAATTTTGACACTAAATTGCAATACTAAAGTAGTGCGCCTACTACAAACATAAGTTGCCATCGAAATAATAACGAGTCGACGTCGTCATGCATAACGATTGGCCAGAACATACAATTAAGACTACACTATACATAGGGTATATTCCATTATCATGAGTCACACTCAATATATCCTAGGGTTTAGTAAGGAATTTAATTGGATGGATTATTCACGTTGTTTCTATAAATTGTGATGTTATCTGTGGTGGTTACCATATTTATGCACTTGTTACTCAACAGTTGGCCGGTAATGTTTACAGATCGAACCATAACATGTTGTTTTCAATATCGTACAATGGTGCTGTATTTTTTTACTGAAAAATATTTGCAAATTGTGTATAGTTAAGCACAAAAGTCTGAAAATACATTTTTAAAGAACATCTGCTGTGACCCAATTACAATAACATATTAAATACAACACCATTATACGATATTGAAAACAACATGTTATGGTTCGATCTGTAAACATTACCGACCAACTGTTGTGTATATGAGTAAAATCATGTTTTTCGAATCACATTGAAACATTTATAAAACCTATAGTATTATTGTTTTATACCAAAAATATTATTATACAATTTAAACTAGGGTTGGGCCTATCCGGATAGGCCCAACCCTAGTATAAACCCTAAGTTTTTGAATCATGATTTTTTTTAGACATCTGTTTCTTAGTATGTTTTTTTTTTAAACCTTAACTAATATCATATTATATTAGTTTTTATGATCCTAGTTTCGAAAGACCACACCTCTAGTTCGGTTAATCATTTATAAACAAAAAAACAATTTAAGTTTATTATCAAAAATTTAGGTTTACCCTATTTCTTCTTCAAAAAAAAAAAAAACGCTATTCATTTATAATAATATTTTGATTTATGGCAAAAAAATTGAGGGCACTCTTGTAGTGAGATTTGGTTAGGTTAAATAATCGTAAAATGTTGAAAAAAAATTTTAATGGTTCACAATAACCTTGTACTAGTTTTTATGACTTAAAAATGTGTTCACCTATAATTTTATACGTATATAGTTTAAGTTTGTCATTTTGACGGCGTAAGATCCCATAAGACTATAAAAACATTCTCGGACTGAGCGATCGCAATTTGTTATAATTTCAATCATCAAATTACCAATTCAACATTTTTAGTACATTATTCTCAATTAAAAAAGTTAACAAAACGTATACGTTATTCAAAATTCCAAAGTTGCAGTCAAAAAAAGTTAGAAGGGGTAAAAGTAAAAATATTAGTGGTTTTTTGTTCGCTATTTTTTTTTATGATACGTAGGCTATAGCTGCTCAACGAATTGTTTACGATTTCTGAACAAGTTGTTTTTGTAATATGGTCACAGCAGATGTTCTTTTTGTATTTATTTTCATACTTTAGTCAATAACTACACATAAAAAAGCAATATAGAGAAAAACAAGATACAAAGAACTCCTTCTAGGATTACAATAAATAACAACAATAATAATTAACAATAAATTAATTGAAAAATGTTTTAGAGTCGACACGATTTAAGTTGGTCGCCTTTCTGTATTCATTTATTACTATACTCAATTAATAATATAATAAAAATATTTAAAAATACCTCATGGCTGTTTACCATTAGCTATTATTCTTTTTACTTTTTTTATAAGTTTTATTGCTTTAATATACCATTAAAACCTCATCAATGCTAAACTCTATAAGTTGAAAAGCCCAGCATGTTGATCGGTTAAGTAGATCGGTCCAGTAAAAACATTTTTTGTAAAAATTAAATTAATCTTAAGTTGAACGCTTGGACCTTTTCTTAAAATCCGGCACTGTGATTTAAGGATAATGTGTTTGTCTTTGAATTTTATTGTTCTATTTAGGAAATAAATATGTGTGAAAGTGAGGGAAAAAATATATAAACATCATGAATTATTATAACAAGTCGGCATTTATTTACATTATTTAATTTTATACAAAATATAATAAATTAATAATGTGTTACAGACATTTCAAACAAATTTCGAGTAATTATTATTAAAATTTGTAAAATACTATTATGATTGACAACAAAAAATAAATGTAGGTTTACTTTTAGAAGGTGAATTAAAATTAAATATTAATTGGTGATGTTTCGTTCGCTAAACGTATATTTAGGTCCCGTAGCTCTTCAAGACTTAAATTTAGGCTTTCCATTAAATCATGAAAGTTGGAATCTGATAAATCGACTTTTGCACCAAACTCATCATATACACGTGTTACTAATCCTTTAAAATTTGATAAAAGTTTATTTATTAAAATAATTTTGACTTTAATTTCTATGAAAATGTAATGTTTTTTTCCGTTAGTACATACCTTTGTCGATCGCTGTCTCTATCCATTGTTGGATCTCATCTTTACGATTAAGTAACTGTTGTGTTAGATTCACTATGTGTAGATTTCGAAGCATATCCTGTGTTTCTTTTATTTCAATTGCCTGGAATATATTTATGAATCACATTATATTATGCTTATAAACCTGTTTACAAATTATACGGCTTCGATAAAAATACATCCTGGTTTTGCGAACGAAATTTACAAAATATCTTTTTTTAACTTAATAACTTGGTTCTCTTATTTGAACTGGAAGTATGGATATTTTGCTGAACATGGTATAAACGATTATGTTAAATATTTTATTATATAAAAAACAACAAATGTTTTTTTTTATCTATTGAAGTACAAGGTTGTATACCAAACCATAAAATATAAACAATTATTTTAATTAAAAAATATTGTTTAAAAAAAAACATTTATCATTACTGTTTATGACTATTGATACAATTTAATGATAGTAAATCACCTTTTGAACATTAGACCAGTCTGGTGCTCTAGTAGAACTTGAAGTCTGATTATTTAGCTTCCGTAGCACTTCAATATTAATGTCTAGTCTTTCCATAAAACCTATAAAACTGAGTTGTGTTAATTCGACTGGTTCACCTAAATAGTTACAACACATATATTAGATTAAAATTCACGAAATATTTAAATACTTATATTATGGAACTGCAGACGACATATATTTCGGATAATAGTTACTGTTTGTTTGAAACAACAGTTTTAAATAGAAACTTACCATACTAATAATGAAATAAATTTTAAACTTCTTTAGCTGTGAAATTTATGTATTAAAATCGAATCAGAAACTCTGATTGTTATTAATCCTTTTTCAACATTCGATAAAAGTTTTTTTGTGATAATAATTTTAATTAAGTACAATTTTTTTTTTCATTAGTATGTACAAACCTTCGCCTTCCCCTATTTTTGCCTCTAACCATTTAATGATGTTATATTTAGATATCCCTGGATTTAGATTCACAAGCTTTTGATATAAGTTGGTTATTTCAACTGCCTGAAATATATTTATGAATTACATTATGTGTTATTCCAAAAATTATAATCGTACTGTTCAACAGTGTGGCAAAGCAATTTTTTTAAGCATCTGTAATGTTATAGCATATTGTTATCTATAAATAAAAATTAGAGGATGTTATTTTTATCTTTTGAAGTATACTGGATCGTATAATGAACAATTAAGCATAAATAGTTATTCTAATTAACAAAAATTTAATAAATTATGTTCTTGGCTATTTTATTGTATAAATAGCCAAGAACATAATTGGGTGTCTTTGTTTTTGGTTATAGCTGAAAACTTTAAAGTTACCTGTATTTCCTTCATTTCGGGATTGTCAGCGGTTTTTGCTGTGCGATGATTAATAATTGTAAAACACAAAATTATTAGATACTTCGCGTTCATTTTTCCCTGCTAGCTTTAAATTTCAAATTACGTCTTATAGGAAACAAAATAAAAAATGTATAATGTTACTGCTGCATATTGACTGGTGTTTTTAGTGT